TTAGCTCTTTTTCTGGAGTTTTGATCTGTTCTTTCATTCGGGACATGTTTCTTTGTCTTCCCATTTTGGCAGCCTTCCTGTGTTTGTTTCTATGTACTAGGTAGAGCTGCTTTGACTCCGTGTCCTGTAGGGTCCAGTGGCGCAACCTCCCCTATCTCCCAAGCTGGCTACTCATGATATGCCCTCTCTGTGGGCTGAGTATTCCTTCCTCTTTTAGTTGAGCCTTGATTGCTGTCAGCAGGTCAATGGGAGAGATTTACCTAGGCCAGACAGCTGTAGGGCTGGCTGTGATCACTGGCCATCAACCACCTCCCTCTGTGACTTGGGGAGGTGGTTGGGTGGTGGTGCTCCACCGTGGTTAACTGTCCACTGGGTGTGCAGGCTCTGGGGTTTCCCGGGTGGTGCAGGCCAAGGTCCACCACCACATGTGTTCTGTCTGGGGCCCCTTGGTGTAAGCTATAAAGCAATCTGCAGATGACAGCTGCTGGTGCCAGGCCTGGGGCCACTCAGCAGAAGAGATGGGGGCTGAACTCAGCTGTTGCTTATTTGAGTGACTTTAGGAAGGTCTGAAGCCTGTGCCTAGCCCAGCCATTCATATGGAAAAGACCCTATTACCAGCTTGGGTGGGTCCTTAAATTGGATGGGGTGGAGCCTTAGGTAATTATAGGGTGGGGCTAACCGTATAAGCCTGGTTGATGGAGATTCAGGTCTGGGGCTGCCACACTGTGACTGTGTGGGGAAGGGCTCAGAAGAGGAACAATGGTCACCATCTGCAGTTCTGTCCTCCTGGAAGCTTTCCTCCAGCTCTTGCCCTGAGGCCAGGCACTTCAGTTCCTCTCCATCTGCCACCGGTGCTCTTCAAGGTGCTGCGCTCTTACTGGAGCCCCAGGGGGTAAGTCTGAGCAAGTCTGTGTGCAGGGCCCTCCAAGAGGAGACTCCTGAGAATCCCACAGTTTCTTCTGCCAACCCCATCCCTGACTGGTTTTTATAGCCAGAAGTTGTGAGGATTTATTTTCCTGTGACTGAAACCCTGGGCTTGGTGGTCTGGGGTGGGGCTGGGATCCCTCACTCCTGAGATAGCCTTCTGTGGTATATCCACCACACATGGGTTTGGGACCAGCCCCTTCTGCATCTTCACGTCTCTACCCTTCCACCCCTCTGGGTGAATGTGGTTTCTTTAATTCTTTAATTGTCAGATTTCCTTATAGCTCGATTTCCTGATGGTTCTGACTGGTAGTTGTTCTACAGTTTAGCTTTAATTGTTCTGTGGTTGTACAAGGAGGCAAGCCACGTTAACATACGCCTCCATCTTGGCCACTTATGTTTTTCTTTTTGGATCGTTTTTCTCATTTCATAATTTTCCTCTACCAATTTGAAAGTTAAAGACTTTTACTTTTTCTTGAGGTTACCCTAAATTTAACATCCATATTTTCTTTAGCTTATTATAAAGTTTAATATCTACTGTCAAATAACACAAGGACCTCAGAATCCTTCAACTCTCATTACTAATATCTTTGTTCAATGTTTCTTACTGCATCTCAGTCCTTTACTCTGCGATCATTATCTTTCTCTCTGAAGTTTCTTTGGTTAGGGTCTGTTGGTAGTACACTCTCTCAGCTCTCATTTTACTGAAAACGTCTTTATTTTACCCATGCTCACAAAAGAGGGGTTTTTCATAATTTGAGCTTGACAGTTATTTTGTCTCAGTACTTTGAAGATATTCTTCTAAGATATTCTAACTTCCATTGTTAGAATCTTATATCTCAGAATATCTGAGAAATCAGTTGTTAGGTTGTCTTTCCTTTGTGATAATCTGTCTTTTCTCTCTGGTTGTTTTTAACATCTCTCTGCTGTTCTGTGGTTCTATTATAATACACATAGGAATGGATATATTAATATATATGTTGCTTAGGATTTGAGTTCTTGAATTTGATGATTCATCTACATTGAAAAATCTCAGCTTTTATTTCTTCAAACATTAAATTTCCTATATTCTGTTTTATTAGGGAACTCTGATTAAATGTGTATTAAATGTGTAAGATCCTTTCACTCCAGACTCTGTGACTCTTAGCCTCTCCTTTATATTTTCCATCTATTTGTCTCTTTGTGCCATCTATATCCCAGTTAATTATTTCACATCTATTTCTCAGTTCTCTTATTCTTTCTGGAGCTATGTCTTATCATTTATTTAACACATATATTAAGTTTTTTGTTTAAATTATTCTATGTTATTATATGTCTCAGTTCTGGAAATTCTATTATGTTTTTTGTTAAATCTCTTTGAACATTTCTGAAAGTCCCTTGTTTCTTGTCATATATACAGTAGCCTGTACTTTGTAAGCTCTCCATTAATATATTTTGCATGAATTTTTTAAGTATACATATTTCACATTCTGTATCTCATAATTTCACTATATATGGTCTCTGTGGGTCTGATTGTACTGTTCATTTTTTCCTGCTGATTCTTGTTTATGTTGGCTTTTCATTTGTGTTATGTGATTTTTTAATTGGGAACTTATGTTTCTTAAAACTTTACTTATAGGTATTCTTAAAGTCTAAGTTAAGATGCATTCTTCCAGAGAGAATTTGTGTTTTCTTCTGTCAGCCCCTGTGGGCACACCTGCCAACATTTTTTCATTGATTTTAGAGAGAGGGGAAGGTGAGAAGGGAGAGAAACATTGGTTGGTTGCCCAGAATAAAGATGGAGACCTCAAACCTATGCATCTGCTCTGACTAGGAAATGAACCCACAACCTTTTGGTTATGGACAATGCTCCAACCCAGCCACAGCAACCGGGGCCAACCTGGAAACTCTTTAGACTAAATTCCTGACTGCGTTTTTGGTTGTTGTTTTTTTTGAACAGTCAAGTAGTGTAAATTATAACCTCAAACTCACATGTGGATTGTTTTTTGTTAGGGATTCTCACAAGAAATTACCTCTTCTTAATTTTACCAAAAGCCAAGGCCAAAAAAGCCAATTTCCTTTATTGTCACCCTGGGTCATAGGGAAAATTATTTCAGTCACATTGGTGTCACTTTCTATAGGTCCCTTATTTATGCTGTGGTCTTTGATTCAATCTTTTCCCTTGCCTGGACCCTGAGCTTTGTCTCCTGTTCCCAAAAATGGTCTGTTAAGAATGAAGTTCTAAGTCATCAAAAACTGGCTCACGTCCAGAAGCAAGCTGCCACCTTCAAGTACAGTACCTGTTTATCTCTCTGGATTTGGGCTTCTCATCCTTTCGATCTTGGATAATTTTGCCAATTCAGCAATGCTTTAACTTCTTTTTTTAAACTTTAGGAACATTGTTTGGTATTTATTCTGGGATGGTTTTAAAGGGTAGCTTATTTGCCATATTTCTAGAAAATGAAACTTGAAATTATTTTAAAAATATTTGGATATGAAGAGAAACACACATGGCAGAAAAAGCTAAAGCACAATAGAGAGTTGAAAGGGAGTGTGTTTGTTTGTCTGTTTGTTTTTAATTTGGGAGAGCTTAAATCTATAGGTTATGGTGGAGGAACAAAAAAGGAGACAGAGCTAAAGATGGAGAAAAAGAGGACTACTGGGTAAAGAGGAATTTGAGGGAGAAGAGGAGGAGCTCAGGAGGCTAAGGGCCCTGAAATGGCCACATTCTAATGCCTGGAATTTGTGACTGTGTTACTTTATATTCAAAGGGACTTTGCAGAGAACATTAAATGAAGGGTCCTGAGAAGGGGAGAGCATCCTAGGCTCTATATGTAACCATGAGCATCCTTTTAAGAGGAAGGTTGAGAGTAGAGAGGAGGAGGGATATGGTGACTGAGCCCAGACAGGAGCGATGTGCTGCAGAGACGGAGGAAGGAGCACAGCCAAGGAAGGAACCCTGGAGAGGAATGGAGGCAGCCTCTAGAAGTTGAAAAGGCCAGGAAACAAATTCTTCCCTCGAGGGTCCAGAAGAAACCAGCCCTGCTGACACTGATGTCAGACTGATTTCAGCCCCCTAACCTCTAGAACTGAGAGAACCAATGTGTTGTTTTCAGCCACTCTGTCTATGGTGATTTGTTACAGCAGCCACAGGAAGAGAACCCAAAGGACTCTCCTTTAGGTTAGGTTGGGTCTTTCTCCAATACATTTATCTATGAAGCCAAATTTGGATATATTAATGTTTAAATTATAACTAACTTAAATGCATAAAAGGTTTTTAATTGTTATCAGACTTAAATATAAATTTAAATAGAAAAAACTTTAACTCAGATGTGTCTGTGGAAACCATAGAAATGTATGTAAAAGCAGATGATGCATATAATCCTATTATGTTTAAGCGACAGAGTAGGAAAGGGTATTTACTTCTGCAGAATGGTGACTCTGATTGTAGTAATTTCAACTGTCACTTTGCCCAGTACTGTATATGAAGGTGTGAAATATCTTGCACCAAAACAGTCATGTGTTGCAACAAAATACAGCATAGAAGACTTAAGTAATGTGCCCAGTGTCACACAGCTAGTAAGTGGCAAAGCTCTTAGATCCACAAATATTCTGATGAGTACCTTTCAAGTTCACTCACCAAAAACTTGAGCAACAATGTGAAGAGGAGCTACAAGGCTCCAACAGGTCCGGGACAGGATTGGATCAGGTAAAATCACCTGGATCTGTCGTAAGCTTCCTGGTTTCTTTGTCTGGATCCCCAGTAGGTAGCCCTGTTTTTCTCTTAGAATTTTCCCATTCTCTCTGATGCCTGACCTCACCTTTGCAGGGCAGTGACCTATCCACGCATCTTACTCAGCATCTGTCCCTGGAGCATCACCAACTCTGCTTCTGTTTATCTATTGGGTTGTCAAGGCCTCTCTACACTTGGAAAGATTGCCTACTCTCTGTGTTGGTTCCACTGTTATGAACCCAGAAATGTGTGAACAAAATAACAACATAAAATCTTTCAGAAAATAAAATATAATAGAGCAATTGGATAAGAAACAAGTTTAGGGCCTCTAAAATATTCATGAAATAGGACAGGTGCTACTTACGCAGGTGGACTATCACCGCAATACTTCCCAATTCTTTTAGCGTCGTTGACTTCTCCGCCATTAAACACAGCCACATAATCATACCGGCAGTAGTTATCGCGCTCAACATCAAACTTCTCAAACTTTAATTCTATAAGCTTTGGTGAAAGGACAATATTAGAAGGGTCAAAATAGCATTGCTGAATATCCTCAAATGGAATTCTTCCTCTCCCCAGATTTGGAGGGTACCATGATTTTCCTTGGTGAAAATGTATTCATTCTCTTTAAATTATTCTTGCTTATTTTCATATTTCTTCTATGGTATTCTTTTACTTTGATTTTTAATCATTCCAAAATATTATCTCAATCCCAGATCAAGCCCAGTTAGGATCTTAAACTTAGAAGCTCTGTTCACTTACAGCTACTAAAGTATGGAATAAGTGATTTTTGAAAGTCCACAATGTAGGCTTGGCCTGTTAAGTTCTGTCCTGCAATATATGAAGGTGGGTCCCAGAAAGGGAACACAAACTGCTGAGCTCTGGAACCTAGACCTTGTCTGATGATTGTTGTACAGCAATGAATGAAGTTATTTGTGGAAAACCTGCACAAATTCAATTTTAAAAAACAACCATAAAGCAGACTAGTTTTTACAGCAGACCACTTGTTCTTTGAAGAGAAGATGTATGTTTGCACTGGCTTTGTCAAAGTGAAGCGGTCAGACTGCTCTTGATTTGGTGACTGGGTGGCTATTTTTAGGACATGATGGTTTTGCCATGTGAGCAAAAGCTAACCTGCAATGTACATACATGCACTTGGGGATTTTCACCTTCTCACAATTAGTGGCTGCTGCTTATAACATCTTCCACAGGGTTAAACGATCTCACGTGAGATTTGCTTACCATTTGTATTTCAAAACCAGTTTTGAAAATTGCAATTATGGAATAGGAAACTGACTCCATGACTTTGCAAGTCAAATTGTGCCAAAGCAGTTTGAATCTGAGTCTTTGTATGTCCAGCAGCGCCTTCCTTGCCCTGTGTCAGTAGCTCTTAAGAACTGGGCCCCTCACACTGTCTAGGCAATTCACACACAACTACTTTCTTCATATTTGCAGGGAATCTCACCTGATTCTTTGGGGCTAGAATGTGCCACAAACAAGTGACTCCTGCAGGGTAATCACGATCTGGCCAGTTGGGGGTTTTAAAAGAGCCGGAAGGTCTTTCAAGGCGTCCTCCACAATACTGATCCCCTGAAGTTATTAAATATGAAAAAAATCCAAGTTATATCCTCATAGAGGTTCTTACAATGCAACCATGAGGAGATCTGGAATTTGGAGTCCTTGGTGGTAGTGTAGTAAGTAAAGACAACGATGGAAGCTCTTCAATTTTCTCTTAAAAATGGTTACAGTTTCCTCTGCGCACACACACACGCACACCCCCTAAGTGATCTCTGTTACCAGACCGATCGCATCAGCACAAGAGAGTAAAGGAGTGGATGCAGGGCCGGAGCTTCTTTTCTTTCTTTTCTTCAGACAAGCAAAGACAGAACATTTGGGGATGTGCTTGTTCAGAAACCATGCAGGCTCAACAAATGACATAGATTTTTTAAGAACCCTTAAAGCAGAGGTATTTATAACTAGGGTTAAAATCCATGCCAATGGACAAAATTTGATTTAGTTGGTATAGAAAACTACAAAAAACACATATGGTATATACATCTTTAATAACTTTAAGAATAATGTGTGCTTGTAAAAACCATACACGCTTATAAAGTTTCAGCACTACAGAAAAGCATAGAGGAGAAAGTAAAGACCCCAAATACCACCACCTAAATCTAACCACAGTTAATATTTTACAAACATTATTTCAGACATCTCTATGCATATGGGTTGATGGGTCAACACTACTAATTTTAGAAAGATATTTTAATACAAACTTCTAAATTTGATTTTTACTTAAATTTAACTAAGCCGAATTGAAACTAAAGATTAATATGGTTTAATGAAATATTTCTTTAGCACAGAATATGATCATTAATTCTCAAAAGAAATCTCTAAATTTACGAAAATGTGTTTTAAGAAATTGGGGTTGGAATGATTTCTAAAACTTTATTCAAGGAATATTTCAAGTATATGCAAAGTAAATATAATATAATGAACTTGTGCATATCTATCATCCAGCTGCAACAATTAATTAGCATTAATCTACTGTTGTTATCTATACTGCTCCTCAATCCCCACCACCTGCTTTATTATTACTACTAATTTACAGGTTTGGGGGAAGTAAATCCATCTACTTTGAAGTGCACAAATCTTGGCTGTACAGTCTGAAAACTGGATGTACATGCAAGCCATGTTCCTATGATGATACAGGGTCCATTTCCCACAAAATTCGTGTATCCCTTCCTTGTATCGGTCTGCTGACTCTCCACACCACTCTTCTGAACAATTTCACCTGACATTAGTTTTATTCTAGACCTCCATGTAAATAAAATCATATGGTGAGTATTATTCTGTGTCTGGTTTTACCTGCTGAGAACACCACCTGAGATTCACTCGTGCTGCTGTGTGTGCTGATGATGTTCCTTTACACGGCTGGGCAGTGTTCCAGTGCATGGAAACACCACCGTTTGCTTACCCATTTTCCTGTGGATATGCACTTGGATGTTTTCAGTTTGCATTTTGAGTGGATAAAACTGCTAGGAACAATTGTACATATCTCTTTGTGGAATGTATTTTCATTACTTTTGCATAAATACCCAGAGGGCAATTCCTAGCCCAACTCTAGATGTAGATGTTTAACTTCATGTGAAACTACTGAAAAATTTTCCCAAGTGGTTGTAGCATTTTATACCTCTCAAGGTAAGAACACTATGGCTGCATTACATCCTTGTCACCATTTGATGTTTTAGCCAGTCTGGTGGGTATGTACCAGTATCTCAATGTGGTTTTAATTTGCATTTCCCTGTTAACTAATGATGCTGAGTAGTTTTTTATGTACTTATTAGCTATTCATAGATCTTCCTTTGTGAAGTGTCTGTTGAAGTGTTGGCCCATTTTTACATTTATTGGGATCTTTATCTTTTTATTGTTGAGTTGTATGAGGTTTTTGTTTATTCTGAATAAAAGTAGCTTATTAGATATTCTTGTGAATGTTTTCTCCCATTCTGTAGGTTACCTATTCATCTTTGTAACAATGTCTTTTTGTAAGTATTGGTTTTCATTTTAATGATGTTTGCATGGTACCTATTTTTCCATCCTTTAACATTCAACCTCCACTGACTCTGAATTTCTTTTTTTCAAAAATATATTTTATTGATTATGCTATTACAGTTGTCCCAACTTTTCCCCACTTTGCCCTGTTCCACCCAGTACTCGCCTTCTCTCCAGCAATACCCCCCTTCCTTAGTTCAAGTCCATGGATTGTGCATATGAGTTCTTTGGCTTCTCCATTTCCCATACTATTCTTAACATCCCCCTGTCTATTTTGTACCTACCAATTATGCTTCTTAATCCCTGCACTTTTACCCCATTCTCCCTCTTCCCCCTCCCAGCTGAAAATCTGCCCCTGCCAATGATCTCCGTATCTATGATTCTGTTACTGTTCTGCTTGGTTGCTTAGTTTGCTTTTTAGATTCAGTAGTTGATAGTTGTAAATTTGTTGCCATTTTAATGTTCATAGTTTTGATCTTCTTTTTCTTAAATAAGTCCCGTGAACATTTCATGTAATAATGGCTTGGTGATGATGAACTCCTTTAGCTTTACCTTGTCTGGGAAGCACTTTATCTGCTCTTCCATTCTAAATGATAGCTTTGCTGGATAGAGTAATCTAGGTTGTATGTCCTTGCTTTTCATCATTTTGAATATTTCTTGCCAGTTCCTTCTTGCCTGAAAAGTTTCTTTTGAGAAATTATCTTATAATCTGATGGACACTCCTTTGTAGGTAGCTCTGCTTTTCTCTTGATGCTTTTAAGATTCTCTCTTTATCTTTAAACTTTGACATTTTAATTATGATGTGTCTTGGTGTGGTCCTCTTTGGGTCCAACTTGTTTGGAACTCTCTGTGCTTTCCATACTTGTATGTTTATTTCCTTTGCCAAATTAGGGAAGTTTTCTTTCATTTTTTCAAATATGTTTTCAATTTCTTGCTCTTCCTCTCCTCCTCCTGGCATCCCTATGATTTGGATGTTGGTATATTTAGAGATGTCCCAGGGGGTCCTTATATTATCCTTGTTTTTTGAATTCTTTTTTCTTCTTGCTGCTCTGGTTGAATGCTTATTTCTTCTTTATGTTCCAAATTGTTGAATTGAATACTGGCTTCCTCCACTCCACTGGTGGCTTCCTGTAGATTTTTCTTTATTTCACTTCGTTTAACCTTTATTTCTTCCTTTATGTTGTTGCCATACTTAGTTCTTTGAGCATCCTGAATATCAGTGTTTTGAACTCTGAATCTGATAGGTTGACTATCTCCTCATCACTTAGTTGTTTCTCTGGAGTTTTGTTCTGTTCTTTCATTTGGGCCATATTTCTTTGTCTCCTCATTTTGGAAGCCTCCCTGTGTTTGTTTCTGTATATTAGGTAGAGCTGCTTTGACTCCCTGTCTCGGTAGCATGGCCTATTGTAGAAAAGGCACCTGTAAATTGTGTGGGATGGCGCCTTAGGTAATCACCATGGTGGGGTAACCGACCTCACCGCTTTGTGGATCTGCATGGGGAGAGGGCTCAGAGAAGGGACTGTGTCACTGCCTGGCTTCTGGAGGTTTGCCTGGCATTCCCCCTTTTTCCACTCATTCCAACTACTTCTGCAACTGGTACTCTCCCAGCCATTGCCCTGATGGTGAATCCCAAAGTGGGTGGGCTTGCATACATTCTAAGTCTATGTGGGTCCTATAAACCAAGCCTCCTGAAAATCTGGCAGTTTCTTCCACTACCCAACTGCCACTGGTTTTTAAAGCCAGAAGTTATGGGGATTTATCTCCCCAGCACTAGAACCCTGGGCTGGGCAGTTTGGCCTGAGGCTGGGATTGCTTGCTCCCAAGGTATCCCAAGGTAACCTTCCTGATTTTCATCTACCGTACGTGAATGTGGGATCATCCATTCTGCCACCGCTGCCTCTCTGCACAACACCACAACTCCACGCCTCCTACCTGTCTGATGAATGTGGCTTCTTTAAATCCTTGGTTGTTGGACTTCCATACAACTTGATTTTCTGAGAGTTCTGGGTGTTATTTGTTTTGAGATGTAGTTGTAATTCTTTCCGTGGTTGTGCAAGGAGGCGAAGCTTGCCTACCTATGCCTCCATCTTGCCTGAAGAACTCCTGACTTTGTATTTCAAGCTCTTTCTTGTATAGCACATAGTGTTGGGATTTCCTCTTTCCTCTGTTTTAATAATTATTATCTTCTAATTGAAATATTTAATCCTTTGATTTTAATGTATTTATTGATATGCTTGAATTTACTGTACCATTTACTATTTTGTTCTATCCAGCTTACCTTTCTGTTGTTCCATCTGTTTTTCTTTTCCTGCCTTCTTTGGATTAATTGAATAATCTCAGTACTATATTTTAATCTTTCCTTTTAGCTCTAACTTGCATTTTTAATGGTTACTCTGGGGATTATAATATGCATCTTTAATTTATCACAATCTGTCTAAAGTCAATATTGTATTTTTCATGTATTATATATGTGTAACAGCAGGGTTCCATTTACCTCTCCATTCTTTGTTCTAATGTTGTCATATACATATTTATAGGACACATGTTATACATATACATTATACCTTTCACAATACAGTGTTTAAAGTTTTTGTTTTGTTTTGAACAGATACATGCAAAGGAATTAAGAGGAGAAAAGGAAATAATATGTAGTCTTTTATATTTACCACCTCCAGTGGCTTTCAATCCTTCCATTACCTTCATTTTATCCTGTGGAGCTATTTCTTTTCAACTTGAGGAACTTCTTTTAATATTGTTTGTGATGTCAGAGTTTATGTGAAAATGTCTTTATTTTGCTTTCATTTTTGAAGTCTGGCTATTGAATTCTAGAATGACAGCTTTATCCCAGCATTTTAACACTGCTGCTCCACGGTCTCCAGCCTCCATTATTTCTGACTAAAAGAAAGTCCTAATTCATACCATCTTTCCCTTGTGTGTAACTTGGTTTTTATCTAATTTGTTTTAAGATTTTCTCTTTCTCTTTAGATCTCTGTCATTTAATTTTGACATGCCTTGATGTGGCTTCATTTTTATTTATCCTATTTGGGATGTGTTGATCTTGGCCTATAAATTGACGTGCTTCCCTAAATTTTGGTAGCTTCAAGTCATTGTTTCTCCATATATTTTTGTCTGTATTATTATCACTCTCTTATTCTCTGGGGTACAAATTACACCTGTGTAAGACCACCTGATATTGTCTCACTGGTCTTGGGGGCTCATTCTCATTAATATTTTCCCTCCTGGTTCTTCAGATTAGCTCATTTCTATTCAAATTCAGTGACTCTTCTATCATTTCCAATTTGCTTGTAAACCCATAAGGTAAATTTAAAAATTTCAAGTTCTGTATTTTTCAGTTCTAGAATTACCATTTTATTCTTTTTCATAGTTGCTGTTTCTCTTCTGAGATTCTCAATCTGTTTATTTATTATACCTATATTTCCCTTTAAGTTTTAAACATATTTCTAATAGCTGCTTTAATAAAGTGCTGTCTGATAATTGCAACATCTGAGTTGTCTTGGGTTCACTTGTTATTGACTGTTTTTTCTTGAATATAGACACACTTTTCTCATTTCATAACACTATTGGATAGTAGACATTATGAATGATACATTACAGAGACTCTAGATTCTGTTGTGTTCCTATGAAAAATAATTTTTGTTCTAGTTGGCATTTAACTTGGTTAGATCCAAGCTAAGAATATGTCTCTCTGGCAGTAGGCAGCAGCTATAGTGCCTGTCACCTTCCAGCTGATACTTTTGTGCCAGGCCACCTGAGCTCTTCCCTATACATGTAGAATTTAGCTGTCAGCCAAAGATTAGGGTGGGTTTTACGTATATACTTTGTGTCTCAATACCTCTGTGACTCCCAGCCAGGATTTCCTCCCTAATATTGTGGCTGCTCTGTCAGCCCCACATTCTGTCCTCTGACATCCCAAACCACTAATCGGACAATATAGGCCAAAGCAAGAGCAGACTAGGGAGTGTCCTCAGGTAGAAGGCTGCAAACTCAACAGATCTTGCCCTCTGCAGTTAACTTTAGAGTGGAGGTTTCTACCCTTGGGAGCTCACATGTGCTGACATGAAAATATCACAACACAGTGTTAAAAGAGAAAGTTGTTAAAAAATATGAATGCCTGATCCCCCTTACATTTTTAAAAAGCTATTGCAAGAGTGTGTGTGTGTGTGTGTGTGTGTGTGTGTGTGTGAGAGTGTACACAGAAATGTATGAGAACCATCAGCCACGGGATGATTTCTAAGAGCAGGCTACAATCGGGTGATGGGGCGTGTTTCTATATCTGTATGTGTATACATGTATGCAAACTTCACATTTTTACTCCATAAATTTCTGTATTTGAATTTTTAAAAGAATATATATGAATTTTTAAAAGAATATATATGAATTTTTAAAAGAATTTATATACTCTTGGTGCTTTGGTGGCTGTCTGGTAAGAAGAACTTCCTTAAACTTTAAGTTAAAGGACAAATACCTATCAAGTGCCTAGAACAGTGCCTGACACCCTGTAGGCCTTCAGTAATCATGAGCCACCCTTACTGCTATTATTGCCATGATGTGAAAACAATACCTCTTTCATGTGGTTCGGCGGCCGAGAACGTGGCCATGAAGCCATTCCCAGCTGTGTTAGCGTCAGAAATCATCTGCACCATCATCTTGTTGCCACTGGACACAAGGGCCGCAGGCCGGAACGTGCCGCAGAAGCGCCCGATGCGCTGGCCATTGCTGTGGCCACTGTATACATCCACAAAGTCATAGCGGCACAGGGTGTCACTCTCCAGGTCTATGAATCGGAAATTGAGAACTACGACTTTTCCCTTGGGAACCTGTCAAGAAAAAGGCCAGTTGGAAACCATGTCATGAAAACTACCCGAGGCCTTCACAGTCAGCCAATTACTAAAGCAAGCAGATAAAAGTATAATATTCAAGATAGTCCTTCTTCTTCCCTCAAACCTGACCTAAGCCAGAAAAGGTACTCTTAATAAAATATGAGAATCATCTTTGACGAATTCCACAATTCTCTAGGTTACACAGTGTTACTCCTAGGGAATTTATCTCAACAATGCTTTAAAATATTGGACCAGTCTTACTAATTTATGTCATACAAATAATCTCACCGTATAGAGTATTTCCAACAAGTGAAAACCACAGGGATTATTTGACAATTGTGAAGCTAATTTAGAGATAATTCACTCTGAATCCTAAAAAAATCCAGTTCAACTATGTATGCTGGTTCTATTAACTCGGGAATAGTTGAAAATTCTCTCCTTAAAGTCACTAAGTTTTTGTTTGTTTTCTAGGTGAAAACTTTAAATACCAGGTAGTTTTTATACACAATGTCCTGATGAAAAAGATGCATTTTCACTTTCTCATAAAACTTTCTTCACTATAATTTCCCCATATAATTCTTATGATGCTTCCCTCCTTGTTTCCTGAATAGGTAGGAAAAAAAATGGCTGCAAAAGCATTTGGCAGAATTCTTACAAAAGCCCCATTTCTTTCCCAGTTCACACCATCTTTTAACTTCTTCATTAAAGTAGTTTAGTCATAAAGTCTCAATCAGATTTATCCCACCTTTTCAACTAGATTAGGTCCCCACTAAATAGAATAAAAATTTCATTCCCTAAAATCTTACAGATGACAAAGGTCAGTGATTTAAAACACACACACACACACACACACACACACACACACAACCTACAAGCAACACTGGTTGGTTTATATTCATTTTCATTAACTATCACAGACTCAGGAGTCAATAGATGCTTTATCATAAATATGGCTTCCCCATGTTGGTGAGTTCAGCGCCATGAATTTTACTTATTTACTTATTTATTTTACGATAAGAGGAAGTGTTTCAGTGCTATTTAACCTTTGTGTCAATCACACACTCTTTCCAATGCAGTAACGGAGTAGTCACAAGAAGGAGAATATTTTTGCTTTGCCATGGTTGCATTCTAATGGTTAGGAGCTTTTTTTCCCCTTTCAATTTCATCTTGTATTGGTTTCAGGTGTACAGCATAGTGGTTAGACAATCATATACTTTACTTAGTGCCCCCCCCATATTTCTAGTATCCCAACTGGCACCATACGTGTTTGTTGCAATAGTATCGACTATATTCCCTGTGCTGTACCTTACATCACCGCGAGTATTTTGTAACTGCCAATTTGTACTTCTTAATCTCTTTACCCCGTTCACCCAGTCCCTCAAGCTCCCTCTCTTCTGCCAAGTACCAGTTTTCTCTCTGTGTCTATGAGTCTGTTTCAATTTTGTATATTTTGTTTTTAGATTCCACATATAAGTGAAATCATATGGTATTTCTCATTCTCTGACTGGCTTATTTCACTGAGCATAAAACCTTCTAAGTCCATCCACACTGTCTCAAAAGTTAAGATTTCCTTATTTCTAAGGCCAGGTAATATTCCACTGTATATATGTACCATAGCTTTGTTACCCACTCATCTACTGTTGGGCACTTGGGTTGTTTCCATAGCTTGGCTATTGTAAATATGCTTCAATTAATATAGGGATGCGTATATTCTTTCGAATTAAGTATTTGCAGTTTCTTCAGATAAATTCCCAGAAGTGGAATCACTGGGTCATAAGGAAAATCTATTTTTAATTATTTGAAGATACTGCTTAGGAGCTTATATTAATGGTGTGAATATCAGAAGTTCCAAAGCTACAATCTAAGAAACTGATAGCAGCAAATGCAATTTAATTTTTAAACAGTCTCACTGAGCAATCTGTTATAGAACTTCCTTGTTTTGTTTTGTTTTGTTGCATGCAATCTCTGTTGTGGAAAATATCTGTTACCTTAAATGAAAACAAGCTCTCTATGAATCACTGAAAAATTCCCAGCCAAGAAAAACATTTTGAACTAAATTAATTTAATTTGGATTGTCCTTGCATGAATAATGACTATCGGTATAAATGTATTGATAAACATTACAGAAGGTAATTCAAAGCTGTAAGACTCTCCACCCAGAGATGAGTGTAGATTTAAAAAAAATAAATAAAAGGGGTGAGGCCAAAGAATCGAGTCCTGGGGCACCCGAAGGTGGTATCTGGAAGCCAAGTGAGGAGGGTCCAGAGGAAGATGAGAATTGAGAAATGATCACTGGAGTTAGCAACCACATGCCACCATGTTTATGGAGCACAGGGACAGACCCTGGTAAGAGAATGATCAAAGTGAAAATGGAGTGAGAGGAATTAGTGATAACGAATAGAGACAAACCTTTCAAGCAGTTTTCTGGCAGGATAAGCAGAGTAATAGGGGGTTTACTGGAAGGGGATGTGAGGTCAAGACAGGATTTTATGACAGGCTATATTAAGGCATGTTTGCATCCAACAGAAATAATTCTGTAGAGAGGGCAGAACGGATGAAGCAGGGCAGAAGCAGAATTGCCGTGAAATGCAGAGCGGCATGGGGAGATGTGACCTGAGGCACAGATGGAGGGGGCAGCCTCAGGAGCATGGGAGGAGGGCAGGCGGATGCATGCAGGTTCGTAGATGAGGTTGTGAGAGCGCGTGAAACTTTTCTTTTGATTTCTTTTCTTTTCTTAGTGAAACAGAAAACAAGGTCATCAGCAGTGAGAGTGGACGTGAGGGCAGCTTTGGGAATTTGAGAAGAGAGGAGAAGGCGTATAAATGGACGAGGAAAATACAGTAGGGCTGCTGTGCCACATTCCGCTCCCTGGGTGGGTGTGCAGAGCGGGTAGAGAGTTGGATTTAAGCAGGGGTAGGTTGGGGGCCAGGAGGGAGGGGCGTTTGCTAATTAAAGGTGGTGGAAGAAGGGAGGACCAGGAGAGTTGAGGATGTAGGCAGGAGAATGACCATAAAGATGGACCACTGTATTCAAGCTGGGTAACAGAAATCAGGAGGCAGTGGGGTGAGGATAGAACTAACCTAGACTGTGGTGGAGGCAAGGACAGTGACAGAGTGGATGGCTGAGGAAGGGTGAAGGATAAGCTCACTGGAGGAGATGAGGTTAAAGACTCAAAAGGATCATCCACACTGATATTGAAATTACTATGAATAATGACAAGGAAGAATGTTGAAGACAATGAGAGTGAGCCAGGAGCTAAAATTTACAAGAAGGAAGGCAGACTTTCCTGAGGTCTTTAGATGACTGCAACAAGGGGGCGGGGCAGAGGGCGGCACAGTCTCATTTCATTGTTAAGTTCTCAGCTCTTTGACACTAAGAAAATTCTGTTGACTCACTCCTATAGTCTGGCTGTTGAAATAGATAAAGGCTTTGGGTACTATTGCCTACTGGGATAAATCATTCCTTCTCAGAAGCTCTTTACTTGGTCTCACTGCAATGAAAAGGTGAAGCTTCTCTGGGAATGAGACGTAGTATGTTTAGCAATACAAACTGGGTTACATCACTGCAATTTTGAACACATGATGGTCCCAACAACCCTGGAAAAAACGCTTCTTCAGAAGCTGCTGAGCATGATACTATCTAGGTCCATCCATGCTGTCGCAAAAGTTAAGGATTGTGACAAAACTTAAAAAGTAAGTTTTTGTTTGGAGAGGAGAGCTATACCAGCTGTGGGTCTGTTGTAACCAGAGACAAATGCTATCTTGCTCTAAAGGCCAAAGAGAAATTCTATAGCAAGTGAGAGGCACACTGCAGCACCTCACTGTGAGACAGCAGCTGTTCCTCACACTTACGTGAGTAGCCAAGACCGTCAGATGCCACGTGATGGGAACTTCGCTGACCGTCCCTGAACTGTCACTCTCAAGGACTTTGGAAAGCATATTCTCTGAAGATGACCCTTCCACTTGAAGAATCTACAGTCTGTATCCTTGATTTTTCTTTGTTAAGGATATATTTTTATATTACTTTTTTATTTTTGATTTGAGAGAGAGGGAAAGTGGGGGAAGAAAGAGAGGGAGAGAAACACTGATTGGTTGCCTTCTGTAGATGCCCTGCAGGGACCGAACCTGCAACCTGGGCATGTTCTGTGGCCAGGAATCAAACTGGCGCCCTTTCGGATCATGGGGTGACTCCCAACCAACTGAGCCACTTTGGCCAGGGCATTAAGAATATTTTTAAAATACAGAAATATACATAGATATATAGAGCAATGTAACAAACACCTGGGCACCAACAATCCAGAATTGATTACTGTTAACAGTTTGTCAGCATGTTTTTAAAGTATCGTTTAACAAAATAAAAATTTTCAGATAAAATGTGGTTTTCTTTGTCCTGTTCCAGGCCCTCTTTCTCTTTCCTTTCTCAGAAGAAACCACTGTCACAAATTTAGTGGGTTTCCTTCCATAGCAATCAAGGTGCTTTGGTACACATGTATGTGTATCCATGCAAGGTATATTGTGTTTTGGTGTGTTTTAAAAATGAATGAAAATGGGATAATGCTGTATCACTCCATAACCTGGGCATTCACGAATTTTCCAGGTGAAGGGGGAGAAATGAAAATAAAACAAAAACACACAGGGTCTTCACAAGATGTTCCTTCTGCCCAGCACACTCTCCCACTCCTGCCCTTCCCTCGCTCACACTGAGGGTCTCCGTTTCAATGTCACCTCTTCCTGGCCCCCACTCTGCCTCCCAAGATGGGCTCTACAAGGTTGGCAGCCTGCCCCTTGGATCTCTGAGCACGGATGGCTCAACCCATTTATACTCTGTCATGTTTTCCTCTAGGAGACAAGGATCCCTTCTGTCTTGTTCCCTGTTGCATCCCCAGCCTCTGGACAGTATGTGGCCTCAAGGTGAATCATGAAGATTTCTTAAATGTGTGAATCATCAGGAACTGAATGGAAAACCAGCTTCTTTGCACGAATCCTGGACGAGGCAGT